TACAGCCTCTGAAAACCTGCTGGAGGCTCAGCTGTGAGTCGGTTCCTACTTGATGGCCGTGAGTGTTTCTCCTGCCACCCTGCTGATTGTTCCCTCCTCATGTCACACTTCCAAATGAAACCAATTGAAATCTTAGATGACATTCTGGGATCCGTAGAGTTTTCATTGGCTAATTTTTTTATAAACAGACCACCAGGCCTTTCTTCTTCGGTTTGTGTTTTTTCAGGAGCTCTGCTGAAACCTTACTACCCTGTGACCTGGCTGGTGTTTGAAACACAGCTGGCATAGCGTCTAGCACTGTAACAGCTCACAGCTGCAGCAGGATGGGCAGTGGTCCGTGCAGCTAGAGAGGACTGTTATTGGGCAGGGCCGTTACAGAACACTTACACTGTGTCCATCATTACAGAAAGTTCTACTGAAGAACACTTAGGACCTCTTGGAGATCAGCCACTACTTATGATTTATCTGCATGTTCCTCATGCCCAGGTTGGTGCTCATAACAGGTGCAACACGAAGGACTAGATTCAAGGAACAGAGGCCAAGAAATGATGGACGCTTCTCTTTCTCACTGCGTACCTGCATCAAAGACTCCTTAGATTCTCATGGATGTTCCCTGCTGCCAACAGACTTAGCTTTTTTTTAAAATTAATTTTAATGAAAGTTTACATAGAGTGCAACAATGAATGAATGAATGAATGGAGACTTAGCTTTTAATGGCATCAGATGAAGCCTCTGAGTCAGGCTTACCTTATGATCTCAAAGAATGGTGAAGCTATGGAAGGAACTGGAGCTAGAAAAGGACCCTGGACTAATGTTCAGACCAGGAACACTGTGATTCAGAATTTGTACCTTTTGGCTTTAGAAAGGGCAGCTTTCAATTTCAGTGACTGGTAATGTTCCTCATATTCATACAGGTGTGTGTGTGTTTAGAAGCTGGCTGAAGGTGATTTTTGGACTTCTTTGGTTGAAATGTGGGTGCCATTCGGCGCAGATGCTGCTTCAGCTTCCTAGATCATGGTTTTGTGAGCATATGACCCATTGTTGCCATCAGTCTCCGTGCAGGGAGCATGGTAGCTTGCCCTGAGCTATACTGAGCATACAGGGGATGTACTCAGCCAGTCTCTACCCCTAAAGAAGCCTGTAGAAGCTAACTGAGGCATTGTAGGAGGACACTTCCTGGACTGATGTGACTACAGAGGCTCCTGGCATTACCCTGCATCTTCTGAAGGTGCCTGTCTCTTTGTACCTACCTGGGACCTGTTCAAGCTCTAGGTGAGGGGCAGCAGAGTCTGGTTCTGTTCCCCTGTGGGTGGGCCTGCTGGGGGTGAGGCTGATGTTCTCCGAGGGCCACACAAATGGAGATGTGTGTCTGAGCTAAAGGGAGTGTGGGAACAGCTCTGTCTCGGGAGCTAGTACCTCCCACAGCACCTGTGGGCCCTCAACGCACATGCGCACCTGCACGTAAGTGTGCGTGTGTGTGCACCTTTGTTTATGTTGTTCTCTTGACCTGAACAGATCTCCTTTTCCATCTCATTCTGTTAAAAGTCACTTTCAAGAACTAACCCAAAGTATCAGCCAAAATCCAGTCATACTGGTAATTTGAACAGGGAAAATGTCATGTAATGAATTATTATCTGTTAAAAAGTGGTTCACTCTTTAAAGGCATAAAAGAAAGATTCTAAGGATACTGAAGAAGCAAAATGTATGAAGCAGCAGCTCCCTCCAAGGCTGATAGAGATTGAATAAGTAAGGAGCCAAGATCTTAGTAGCGATTTAGACCTTGACCTTGTAGGAGCCAGTGGGGCTGCCCAGGAACCTGTAGCCTTGGGAGAAAGCATCTGAGGAAATGTGGTGGAAGGTATGGGCTGGAGCTGGTCCGTGGGAGCGCCTTGCCAGGTGGGTAGCTGTGGGCCGGCTCTGATAAGTTGGAGAGGCCAGTTGGGTGGTGCAGAACTTGGCTGGAGGGTGGAGGCTGCTCAGATCTGTAGGAGGAATCTGTCACATGGTGAAGAAATTTACTAGAGGGTACAGGGCAGAGCTAACTGGAATAGGCTGTGAGGTAGTCAGGCTCACTGGAGGCTATGGGACAGAACTGGTCTGTAGGAAAGGTGCAGAAACCTAGTGGTGTGGGCCACAGCTGGTCTGTGAGGGTCTTGCAGTAGGCAAAGCCTTGTGCACTCCGAAGTATAGAGATGGCCTTGTTTTGAAAACAAAACAACGGAGCCCGTAAAGGAAACACCACCTTCGTGCTTTGAACTTAACAGAGCTTCTCCAGATCCCCCTGTTGACAAAGTCTAGCCTCGAGCCATCTGGTAAAGTAGAACTAGTGGGCCTATCTGTGGTATCACAAAGCCAGGCAGAGGAGGGTAGGTTTGCAGCTGGGAGGCGACGCCTTTATGACTGCCATCCCCCCACTCAGTTACCCCTTCCCTCATGAATCAAATCTTTCCTCTAACTCCAGTCCTCTTGTTTCTTTTATCTGTGAGCCTGTACGCTGCACACTCTTACCCTTTCGGATGGCTTTTTCACTGGCTTTTTCTCTGTTAGGTCTCACAAGATGGAACAGGATGAGCACTATTTCTTTCATGTGCCACACAGTAGCAAGGTCAGTACTGGAGATGCAATGAAAACCAGTTGCTGTCAAACCCATTCCACCTCACGGCGACCCCACTCGCAGCAAAGCAGAACCGAGTACTGGAGACTTTGTAATGGCTGGTTTTTGAAAGTCGCTCTTCTGATCTTCCTTCCAAAGTGCCTCTGGGTAGACTCAAACTTGTTACCATTCAGCATGTGAGCTGTTCGCACCATCCAAGGAGTCTGGACACACAGTAGATGTGCAGCAAGTACCTGGTGGTTGATGTGTTCACTGGAAGGGGAGGAAAAAGCTGAAGCATTTTCTCATCCCTTCTTCCAGCCCTCTGCCTCCTTTCAGTGTTGAGCCTGCTGACTCCCCGCTTGAACCCTGGGGCAGCTTTGCAGGGAGTTTGGGAGCAACCCGTGCTCCTTGGATGAGCAGCTCCGAGGTGCTGGGGTGGCTTTCACTGCTGAATCTGGGCTCTGACGACGCCAGCGTCTCAGCATTAATGGACGGCAGCTGCCTCTCTGGCTGCCTGTTGTTCTGGGAGACAGTGATTTGAACTGCAGAATGTTGTTTTTCAGATGCCCAGGACCTTAGCTGGCCAGCCTCAGCCATGCCTTCTCCTTTCCCACTTCCTCTGAACCCTGGCTCAAGCATCATTTTAGCTGACTTTGACCCTAACTGACTCAGCGTGCCTTTAGCCCTCTGACACTTGGAAGCTTAGCTTCCAGTTTCAAATCCTTAGGGAGGAGAGCTTCCTCCTACCAACCCGTGACTCGTTTAGGGGTGTACAGAAAAATGAAACAAAGTCGTTGCTGTCGATTCCTACTCATGTGTGTCAGCGTAGAATGCACTCCATGATGTTTCAATTACTCAGTCTTTGGAACTAGATCACCAGGACTTTCTTCCTAGGCACCTCTTTGGATTTGTGCATCCCACTGAAGGGTTAGCTGCCTAGTGTGTTAACTGTTTTGTACCACTCAGGAACCCCAGGGGCATGGATACTTCCACTAAATTCTCAGAATTGCTTTCTTTGAGAGAAGAGGCACTCTCACTGGTTCAGCTTAGACCAGCATCTTTCTCAGGGCCAGAGGGTGGGGTCGGGTGTACACAGAGTCCCCCAGAAATGGGCTGCAGTGGGAGGCAGTGGTGGAGCTGTCCAGCAGAGGCCGGAAATGGCCGGGTCTGGAAGGACCTGAAGCCAGCCAGCTAGTCCCTGGATGTTGAGGCTTCTGCTCTGCTATGGTAGGAGGTAGGCAGATGGGCTCCTTGGCTGCTGAGATGAGAGTTATCAGAGATGCAGCCTTCTTATCGTCTTAATTTCTAAAGTGACGGTTTTCCGTGTGGTTCACTTGGCGACTAATTATGTAGGTTCTTTGAACATTTCTTCCATCTTGGTTGCCAACTGCTGTTTAACTCTTCACACGGTTTTATAGGCTGAAATATGTTCTTCATTATATGCTGTCCTTCTTGGCACTCCCCGGAGTGCACACCCAGCTTGGATGTTCAGTTTCTGTTGACTTGGTTCGGTGGAAGGGGATACGATTCCCTAAGGGCACTGGGGCCTGTCTTCTGGGTGTGCCTGCCTGCTGTTCTACCTCAGAAGCTGTTGTTTTGGGGAGGCAAGGCCCCAGTATGTTCAAGACCTTCAGATGAACTGGGATGGTGACTGAGGATGGACAGCCATCAGGCAGACGGTGGCCACTTCTCAGCCCTGGAAGGGCAGATGGGCATCAGGACGGGTCTATCCTCACAGCTATCAACCTCATGTGTCAGATTATGAGAATCCACTTCTATAGAACTATCTCCACAAGTAAATGGTTCCTCCAGTTGGTAGGAGACCGTGGTAAAGTTTGCTGTGTTGGCGTTTAAAGAGCCTAGATTTGGAGTATTTCTAGACTTTCTGTTGATGTTGATTAATTACTTCTTTGTAAGCAAAACAAATTGAGTTTCTCATCTTTAAAGAGATCAATACCTGCCTCTCAGGGTTGCTGTGAGCATGAAAAGAAAGAAAATATTTGTGCATGGTTTTTAAAATTTTAACTGGAAAACTACAAATGCACATGAAGTATTACTAGTATGTCTGAGGGATGGGTAGCAAACACACTCATTCTGTGTATCCTTGATTGAACCATCAGTAGATGAGACTTGGTTAAGGGCCTGGAGCTCCTTTATGAGTGATTGGGACTCAGAAGAGATGCATTTTGATGGAGAGGAAGAGATTGGAGGGATGGGACCTTCTTAGAAGGCTAATCACAGTGTAAAGTTGGAGGTGGCTTCCTTGAATCCCGGGAAAGAAAAAAGATGTGTGTGTGTGTGTGTGTGTGTGTGTGTGTGTGTGTGTGTGTGTGTGTCCCTGCCTTGAACGCTCTATGGGGAGCCTACACTCACTCCTCTCTGGCCCTGGCCTGTCCCTCTGCAGGTGCACCTCCGCTCGGCCCGGCGCCTGTGTGAGCTCTGCTGTGCCAACCGGGGCACCTTCATCAAGGTGGGCCAGCACCTGGGGGCTCTGGACTACCTGCTGCCGGAGGAATACACCAGCACGCTGAAGGTGCTTCACAGCCAGGCCCCGCAGAGCAGCATGCAGGAGGTCCGCCAGGTCATCCGCGAGGACCTGGGCAAAGAGGTACCTGCTCTGTGGGGATGGGGTGGTACCCAGGATGGTCTGCTGCTGAGTCCAGCTCCAGAGAGCTGGGGATCCATCGCTGATGTGGAAACAACCTTCCCAGCCACTGTGGGGGCTGAACTCAAAGAGGTTAGGAGGATCCTCAGTGACCTTCTGTGAAAAAGATTTGTGGGCCCAGACAAAACTGTTGCTTTTAGATTGTTTTTAACTATAATCCAACATGATTCATATGGTTCAACCTAATACCTGTCAGGTATTGAGAGTTCACCACACATCAACAAATAATGCTGGTCTGTACATTATCTCCTTTAATCCTCATGGCTAATAGGTGAAGTTGTTAGTGTTAATAGCTCTATTTTTGCAGACATGGGATGGAGGATAATAAGGTAAAACATCCAGCGGCACTGTTAGTCAGAGGCTCCAGTACACCGCAGTATGATGCCACTGACAAACTGTCCCAGTCATCCAATGCATTGCTCTTTGTTTGTTTTCAACACGTCTTCTTCAGCTTATGCTTGATTACCTCCAGTGACAAGATGCTTACTCTCTCACCTGCTGCCTAGGGCCCCCCTCCTGTTGCCACAGTCATCTCTCATTGTAAGCCAGTGCTTCCCTATAAGGTTAACCCCTACCTTCTCCATCTTTGCTCTTTTTCTGACCTTTATTCTGGACCTTGGAATGCCAGAGAGAAGGACTTTGGGCCCTTCTGTGTGGCAGCTCTGGCCACTCCTTTGGACCTTTGCCCATGTGCCAGTGCCCTGCAGAATGTGTAGCATCCAAAGTGGGGCACATATCGGAAGGACAGTCGCTGGCCTGTTCTGGCCACCTACCTTCTGTGAAGAGGAGGGGCTCATGGTGTCTGCAGCCAGCCAGGTCCCGCTCTTACAAGTGACGTGGTCTAATTTGAGATCTCGACTGAACTATCATTCTCCTATCCTTGCCAATCACTGTTTTTAAGTCTACTCTTAGAGAATGTTTGCATCTCCTAGAGTTTCCTGGGCAAAAAAATTCTTATAGTCTAGCTTTTTATCAGCTGATGCCTAACCTGGGGTTAGTTAATGACCTTTGATAACTCCTGATGGCCTTTAGAATAAAATCCTGGGCAGGATTTGCAGGTCCATCTCAGTCCAATATCAGCCTGGCAGTTGTGTGAATTCAGCAAGGAGGGCAGAGTGGCATGGTGCTAGGAGCTGGACATGGTGGTTTGGAGTCTGGAGTCTGGCTGCCTTTTCAGGCTGTGTGCCTTTGCGCACACAACTTATCCTTTCATCATCATCTCTTACCTGTAAAGTCATTCCCACTATAGTGCTCACCTAATAGGGTTGTTGAGACACTTAGAAGAGATTGTGAATGTGGTGTTTAGGGCAGTGCCTGACATGGAATAGATGTTAAACAAATACTGACTATTTGGGAGGGACTGGAGTGCATTATGTTGAATGAACTAACTCAGTCCTATAAGGACAAATAGTGTATGAGGCCATTATAGAAATAGAAAGATAACTAGTAAAATGTCTATGAGGATCCAAGGGGGGCAGTGGAGAATAGCAACAGAGGGGTGAGAATGGGCAGGGGGAAATCATAGGGTTCCACCATTTGATGGATGGAGGGAGGGGCGGGTAAAGGAAATGGGAGGGATCTGGAAAGGCAGGCAATAGTGGAAATAGTTTACTTTTAGAAAATATGATGAATCAGAATGATTGTATGAAACACATTGTGAAAGAAGGATGGTGTGAAACACAATGTACACAAACTTTGTAAGCAAACCAGTATAAAAAAAAATTGACAAAAGAGATAAAAAAGAACCCCTCCAATTGAAATTGGCAAAGAGGAGGTAAAATTATCTCTCTATGCAGATGATATGATAGTATACTTAGAAAACCCTAAAGGCTCAGCAAGAAAACTGTTGGACATAGTTGACCAATTCAACAAAGTAGCAGGATACAAGATCAACATACAAAAATCAGTTGGCTTTCTCTACAGTGACAAAGAGAATGCAGAACTGGAGCTAAGAAAAACAATGCCCTTCACAATAGCTAATCACAAGATTAAATACTTGGGAGTAAATCTAACCAGAAGCACAAAGGATCTATTCAAAGAAAATTACAAAACATTATTACAAGAAACAAAAAGAGACCTGGAGAAGTGGAAGAATATTCCTTGCTCATGGATAGGAAGACTCAATATTGTGAAAATGGCAATACTACCAAAGGCAATTTACATGTTCAATGCAATCCCAATACAAATGCCAATCCCATTCTTCAAGGATATGGAAAAGGTAATCTCCAGTTTCATTTGGAATGGAAAGAAGCCCTGAATAAGCAAAGCACTCCTTAAAAATAGAAAAA